ATTCTCTTTCCTTTTTAAATAAATTTAATTTTTTCTATTTGTTTTTCTCAGGCTCGATTTTCGAATTGTTATTTTAGATAACAAATAACTTATTATAAAATGAGATATTAACACTAATCGAAATAAATAAATAACTAGGGATCAAGTAATTTTATTGTATTGAGTAGTAACTATCTTAAAAGTAATTTCATCTAAATTGATGTAATCTCAAAATTTAAATGTTATCTTCTAAAATTGAACATTGTTAAGAAATGGTGTGAAAAGATATCTTTGACCTGATTAAAATCTAGAAGAGGTTAAAAAAGATACATACAAAGTCAAATTTAAGATGCATGTTAATTTATCAAAAAGAAAAAGATACATGTTAATTTAAATTTAAACTAAATCGGACATCGACAATCAAATATTTGTATTTATGAATTTCATCCCTTATTACTTAATTCAAATAAAGATAAATATTAATATTAAACTTTTTACCACTAATATGAGATGCATAAAACTTATTTACATTATACTATTTTACCCATACATAATAAAATGACCCAACTTGTTGTTTGAAGGGAAATGGTAGTATCTGAGTCAATGCAAACTCTTCTGGTCTCCCATCTTTGCATATTACACAAATACACAAAGCATTATTCCGTTTTCTTTTATGACTTGGTCTCGAGTACATTGATAATGAAAATTGACATATAGAGACAAAATAAGGAAGCTAATGGGCTCCGGAAACCAAGAAGGTTAAATTGGAAAATGGAAGACATATGAACAAAGGTGGGTGAGAAGATAGTGCATGCATGCTCTTTCTGCAAATCCCAAGGCATTTTTACATTAATTTTGGAGCCCCTTGTAATAAAATAAACATTGTGTATACTCAAAAGTCTTTGAAGATTTTTGACCTATTACTGTGTCACTTGGTGGGAATCAGATTTTGCCAAAGGATAAACACTAAAATGAGGGTCCAAAAAGTCAGCATTTCTAACTCGGGATACGGATTTTCCCCTATTTGGGTTTGGTATTTTTAATATTTTTGAGGTAAAATTGTCTGTTTCCTTATGGGTCAGATAGATAAGCTAATGTATAATTTACAGATAGTACAACAAACACATACGGGTTAAAAATAAGATTTGTGAGTAATGTATAATCATAATTTTTTTTTTTAAACTGTATTGATTTCTAAAATATCCATAGAAGTAGTACGTTCATTTACAGATAGTACAACAAACACATGGATTTTATTTTTCGAATCAATTTCTTCATTAATTAATATCAAAATTAAACTTAAATTTAAGGATTATTTTTAGAATCTTTCTAATTTCTTTTTCTTCTCCAACAATACATACCAAAACACCAATTCTTCCCTTGTCTTCAATGGCTAAGTGCATTGTCGCTCAACTTTGAGTCTGTGACGAAGTTCGAGTGCCACAGAATAAATCAAGTTATCAATATTTTGTGTTGTATAGGGAGGGGAGCTTGGGATTGTAAAGTTAGATGAGATTGTTAAAAATGGAGATTCAAACAAATTTTTTGTTTCTTTTATGGAGGGTTATATGTTACATGTATACTTTTTCCCTCTCTAATTTAATTCGTTTGAACGTTTGTACTGTAGTAATCCTGCAACAAGTAGCTGTAGGTGGTTCATGGCTAATGTTTAAAGAAAAACAACCTTCTCTCAATACCAAAGAAAGAGTAACTAGCTACCCATCAATGCATGATCTAACTTACATACGCTTTAGTTTCAGAAATCATGAAAACTTAAAGAATTTAAAGGAAAAAAAGAAAGATTTTGGAAGAAGAAAAAGAGTTTAGATTAACAAAGAATTTTTATATGTATTAATAAAGATCCTAAAAATAATTTCCAAATTTAAATTTAATTTGAATATGCATTACTGACGAAATTTATTTGGAAAATAAAATTCATGTGTATAAATGACATGAAAAAAAATAATGTGGATTCTTTTAATTGATTGGGACCATCAATGATGTGGAGAAAATGGTCCATAAAATAACTTGTCCAATAAATGTTGATCCCTAAATGAATTGATATCATGATGTATGTGATTTATATTTGGTGTCTACATGTTTCTATAGATGTTGCTTGTTGATTAATGAAACTTTTAAGGGTTATTTATAATTTAAGAATGTCCATATATGTTTCAGGGTAGTTAGTTCTAAACTCAGAAACAAAACTTGAAACTTCTACTCTAGTAGATTTGTAGATTTCGAAACATCACTTTAAATTTCGATACTCAAGAATGAGTCTTTAAAATTTTTCTACAACTTTTGTAACTTACAGATTGACTTTCTAGAAGTTATATTTGCTTCCTTTTTATTTTTTGGTATAGCCACTCATATTCAATCTATTAATCGACTAATTTAGATTGAATGCTGCAGAGGTAAGGGCGACAATTCCAACCAAATTTATTCGTTTCGCAATCGCCAGAATTCAAACTTTTGACCTTGCTTAAACAATCTATTGCCTCATCCCATTAGACCTACTAATTATTGGTATTTACTTTTTTATGATTTAAAATGATATTAAACCCTTATTTTTGAAATGATTAATAATTTAGTATTGTTTGGTTATTATTGAAATATTTGATTGTTTGATTTAGAGTCGGTTAAATTCCGATTAAATTTTGATCAACCAGTATGATATTTTTATTCCAATTTTTAAAAGTCAAATTCAGAATGTTATACTATTAGTACCATACTTCTTAAATTATAAAAACCTGGCTATTGTAGCATCTAATGTAAAATCCAACGTCACTCCTCATTTTAATAGGAATGATTGTTTTTCCAAGTAAATTATATACAGTGCCATAAGCCGGCTATAAGGATTTCCTTTATTACTCACATGGTTTACTTATGCATAGACCTCGATTTCCCGACTTATAGTTTACTTTTACGCGTGTATATATTATATATTCTAAGCATTTTGCTAACAAATGGTGTTAGGATATATATATATTAAATGAATTAATATATTTATATATATAATTGAGTGAAAATTATCAATTGTTATTATTATAATAAATTTGAAGGAAAGAGGACCAATAATACAAGGTGCAAACCTTGATCTATTATGTTAATAAATAATAATTTTGTTATTTGAACTCTAACCTCATTGACAACTAGTGTTAGTACAAGTGGTTGAGATTCAAGAATTTGAGTTTGTAAGATCAAGTTCAAATCCTATAACCGTCACTCTTGGTGGGCAATCTATAAATTATTATATAAATCTCAATTGAATCTTAGGTATGCTTTGACTCTGAACTGGAAAAATTACCGACATAAACTTTTTTATAAAAAAAACCTTTAACCTCATTGTTATTAAGACGTTATTGTTCTAGTAATACATTTCAAAATAAATGTTTCGAATCATTTCAATAACAAAAAATGTTATTTTCTTATAAGACTTGTATTATAAAAGTTGTATCAATAGAATATATTAATATTTATCAATAAATTACTAAAATTATGAATAAATAATATTTTGTAATAAAAAATGTTAAAAAACGTCTTTTAATAAAGCGCAAAGGACATTGTGACCTTATATTAAGCAAAATACTAGTATAATATCTTACATGGGTCCCTTCAGGTCAAAGCATGCTGCGAATGTTAATTAACTACAAGTAGATAGGTCTTCCTAGTGAATTGTTTCGTTCAAAAAAGCATGCCCTATGTGTCCTTTCCACATGCAACCCAACATGCCTCCCTCTTCATTTCATTTGAATGTGTTCATATTATTAGAAAAATATGTGCTCATATACATGCTGATGTACAACAAGGACCGATGCTCCAATATTTCAAAAGCAACAAATAAATGAATAAATAATAAAAGGAAAAGCACAGATTTTAGGTTAAAAAAGATGAGAAAGATTGCGGAACGTATCATTATATTTTTGCTTAAATTTGGTGCACATGCTGTAACTGTATGCTATTCTATTTTCTGACAAGGCTTAGTTGCATTAGTCTTACGGCAACATGACCTTTTCTACGTGTTTAGAGGTCTATAATTATCTTGTAGATTGTGTTGTATTTTCTGTCAAAAGAAAAAAGGTGTATACCTGTGGAAATGATGGGGACTGACATTTGAATGATATTTGGATTGCGATCATATGTTAGACAATCATTTTGGTACGGTTCTGCAGCTTTTTCTAATGAAGATATACGCAGTCACATGCTCTTAAATATATACATTAAAAATTTATATAATTTTAAAAGATAAAAATTAAATTATCAATAAAAACATAAAAAGAAATATTGACCCTTATCTATTCCTTCTCTTATGTCGGAATCTTTGAAGATGGATGTTATAGTCTCAACTTTGATGATGGGAAGTCAATGAAAATTTGGTACAAAGTTGATTCAATGATGGAATTATATTAAGGCGGTGATAAGTCCATGATTGCACTTCCTTCAGGAGAAATCATATAAGAATGTTCAAAGTGATATGGTCCAAAAGAATGATTGAACTCCAGGTAGATGAATGATGAGATCAGGTGAATAGCCTCTAATCAAACCCATGATTACAGGTCAACCTATATGATTGATATCTTAGCCATATGGTGCAAACAACAGGAGCAGAGATTTAGTTCTCAAAACATCACAAATATTGGAAAGTGACTTTTGTGTTGAGTGATTCATAATGAAGGGCAACTGTGCTGATGGGAGCTTATGAGGGTCCAATCAGATGCATGGCCCCACGCTAGGATCATTATCTAGCATGGGAGAGAGTGTTCTTTGCTCACTCGTAATCTTGGATTACAAAAAACTATGGATGCATTTCAAAATTTCTCCCCTATTTAAACACAAATGCAAATGGGTGATGAACAACCCCCAAGTGTTATTGCTTTATTCCATTCCCAAGACCAAGAATTTTCTCTCTATCTATCTAATCAACAAAAAGAGAGAAAAAGACCGTCCTTTAAAGTCCCAGAAAGACATACACCGAAACTAGAAAGAGACTGTACTTTACAAAGACTGTTATTTTTATCCTCATGGATTTCAACAACTCAAAAACCAACTCTCCTTCCTCTTCTAAAAACAAAAGAAAGCAACAGCAACCTCAGCAGCAGCAGCAGCAGCAGCAACAACAAGAGATACGATTCTTGGGAGTAAGGAGGAGGCCATGGGGCAGATATGCAGCGGAGATAAGAGACCCTTCCACAAAGGAGAGGCATTGGCTCGGCACCTTCGACACTGCCGAGGAAGCTGCCTTAGCCTACGACCGTGCCGCTCGCTCCATGCGTGGCTCCAAGGTTCGAACCAACTTCGTTTATTCCGATATGCCAGTCGGCTCATCGGTCACCTCCATCATTTCCCCCGATGAAACACAGCATAACATGTCGTCGATTTTCCCAATTAATCCACCTTTTCACCAACAAATGGACAGTAACCAGAACCAGCTTTTCTTCAACCAAGACCCTTTCAATGCCTGCCACTTCTCGTCCGGTTTATTACCAGCCGGAAACAGGTGGAACCAAGAGAGTAGTGATTCATTAGTGTCTTACACACCCATTACCGGTGTCATGGAAGCCGGAAACGGTGGTTCTCAACAGTTCAGCGATGATTGTGAGCTGCCACCTTTGCCTCCCGATGTCTCTTCCACTTGTTACGCATCTGGAGTTGCTGGTTCAGATATGAGTTATACTTACGGTGAGTGGAGTGACTCGAGCCTTCTCGGGTTTGATTCAGGAGTGAGTGAGCCGTACTTGGGATTTAACTCTTACGAATTGATGATGCCATCGGTTTCTGATACGGTAAGCGAGGGATTTAATTTGGGTTCATTATCACCATCATCGGGTTACTTCTTTTAATAGCTAGCTTCCACAATAACAAATGATAAATTGCTACTACAAGTCTACAACTTCTGTCATATGTTATTGAAGAAGAAGAAGAAGGTGTTGGTTTAGTTTTAAGATTTTGCTGTCTGGATCTGCGTATTTTAATGATTTTGGTGGTACTTAAGTACCGGTTTCTTTGGTTGTTGTTGGATTTGGGAGGAAATGGTCCTGCTTCCAAGCCTTCTTTTGTGGTTCATGTCATGCCTTTTTGGTCAAAGTTGCTTTTTTTTATTTGTAAATGTAAAACGTTTAATCACACCACTATCAGCCGCTAGTGTGTTTTTTCTTTTGGTTACTTTTTAATGGATCTACCCATGTTCTTAATTAGGCATGTGCTGTAATGTGTGATGAGACTTTATAGACGAAAATATAGTTAACACATAATGAAAATTAATTATAATTATAATTATAAAAATAATATTAAGCATTATTCAACTTTTCTAATCTATCTCCTCCACAGTGATTCTAATATTGAAACCTAAGGACGAGCATAAGAAAAATCCATTAAGTGACTTTAGTAATAAGAGGGAGTATTGATCTTCATAGAGAATTTGAGTTCGAGCAATTGAGTTGATTTGGGTGAAAGTTTAAAATTTTCATATTTATTTTCTACTTCAACAACATTTCCTTTTCCCCTTTTTGTTCCATCTCTTCACCGATTCTTCATACCGGATTCTTCAAATTGTTCCATCTTCCTTAGTTAACCCATCTCAACCACCATACAAAATAGAAGTGTTGGTATGATCTAAAGCTCAGAACTTCAGCCATTTGCATGGAAGTAATAAACAAATAATCTTTCCAGATAATGAGTGTCCAAGTGCCGTTTGAGTTGCCCTGGTGCTGGAGTCTCTTAAAGTAATAGCATTGTTAAATCCATGGATATGTCCAAAGACAAAATTTCTTGAAGAATTTAAGATGCTTTATCACCACTTCTATGAATGATTAACAAATTATATTTTTGGGATTTCAAGCTCATTCAAATCAAATTTCAAAGCAAAGCAACAATCAAGAATGACAAACTGTGATGCGTGGATCATGGAAGCAGGTAGTGTTAAAAGTTTCAAAGTTTGGCAACCAACTTTGGAAAATGTTTTTTTCAAAGTTTGGTAAATGTTTCTTTGAAAAATGTTTTTCAAAGTTTGGTAAAATTTTGGTAGATGTTTGTTGAAAATAGGAATGGGTAAATTCACTTTAGTCATTGCACTTTAGGGTATTTTCAAAGATTAGTCCCTATGTTTCTACTATAAATACCCTTACCCATTTAGCTTCAAAATCATCCCAAAATATTTCTTTCTTCCTATACTAGAGAGCTTTCTTGTGAGTAGTGAGTGTTTTGTAAACACCTGTAAATTTTCTCTCTTAGTAAAAGATCTGCAGCAGCCCGGAGACGTAAGCACAATTGGCTGAACTCCGTTATCAATTTTCGGGTATTATTTTTCCGCTTTTATTTCGCATTCTCACTAATCTGGTTATAAGGAAATTACTTGTACTCGATTTATTTTCCTAACAACTGGTATCAGAGCTTTTGGTTGTGAATTTTGTCAATTTTTCTGCGAGCTTACTATTCATTACTATTCACGTGAATAGTGAAATTTCGGTCGGCGATACGAGTTTGTCGACAGTGGTGTTCTAATACACGGTGGTTCACAAGAATTGTCAGAAACGATCCAAAAGAAGCCAGATTCGAGTGGAAGCGATGGCTGCAGACGAAGGGAATGTGAAAATTGAAAAGTTCGATGGTGCGGACTTTGGCTTTTGGAAGATGCAGATTGAAGATTTTCTGTACCAGAAAAATCTTTATCAACCTCTCTCAGGAAAGCAACCAGAGGGCATGAAGAATGAAGACTGGGCTCTTCTCGACCGACAAGCCCTCGGAGTTATCCGACTGACGTTATCCCGCAATGTTGCTTTCAACATAGCAAAGGAAAAGACCACGGCGGGTCTTATGGCGGCTCTCTCCAGTATGTATGAGAAGCCATCGGCCTCAAACAAAGTTCATTTGATGAGGCGATTATTCAATTTGCGGATGGCGGAAGGGGCATCGATGGCACAACACCTAAATGAACTCAACACAATCACAACCCAGTTGAGTTCAGTGGAAATTGAGTTCGATGATGAAGTTCGAGCTTTAATTCTCTTATCATCTCTACCAGACAGTTGGAATGCTACTGTTACAGCAGTCAGCAGTTCGTCGGGAAACATCAAATTAAAATTCGACGATGTTCGGGATCTGGTATTGAGTGAAGAAATTCGACGAAGAGAATCGGGTGAAGCATCAACCTCCTCAGCCTTACACACGGAGTCTAGAGGGAGAACTTCAGAAAAGAAATTCAAATCGTGGCAGATCAAAATCTAGAAGGGGAAAATCAAGAACAGGAAATAAAGATTTTACCTGTTATAATTGCGGCAAAAAGGGTCACTTCAAAAGAGATTGCCGAGCACTGAAGAAAGATACCGGTGCACAGGAATCTGCCAACATGACGGAGGAGACAGGTGATGCCATGATTTTAAGCGTCAACAGTCCGATTGAATCATGGATCTTGGATTCAGGGGCATCTTTCCACTCCACCCCATGCCGAGAAATCATGGAAAACTATGTCAGTGGTGATTTTGGGAAGGTTCATCTAGCTGATGATGAAACCTTGAAGATCGTCGGAAAAGGAGACATCCGACTAAAGTTGCCAAACCAGACCACCTGGAAGCTGACAGGAGTGAGACATATTCCTGGCCTCAAAAAAGAAATCTGATTTCTGTTGGACAGCTTGATGGAGAAGGATATAGCACAACCTTTTCAGGCTGTGAATGGAAGATTACCAAAGGAGCACTCGTCATTGCTCGTGGTAAGAAGACTGGTACTCTCTATGTAACCTCAAATTTAGAGAATATCATTGCAGTAGCAGATGCTGATGGAAAATCAAACCTATGGCACCAAAGGCTTGGCCATATGAGCGAGAAAGGGATGAAGACACTTTTGTCAAAAGGGAAGCTGCCGGATCTAAAGAAATGTAGATGTCGGACTATGCGAGGATTGCATCTTTGGAAAACAAAAGAAAGTCAGTTTTACAAAGATTGGCAAGACTCCCAAGGCAGAAAGGTTAGAATTGGTTCATACTGATGTATGGGGACCATCCCCAGTTTCATCTCTTGCAGGCTCACTATATTATGTCACCTTCATCGATGATTCAACAAGGAAGGTGTGGGTTTATTTTCTGAAGAAGAAATCAGAAGTCTTTGATACCTTCAGAAAATGGAATGCCATGGTGGAAAATGAGACTGGTTTGAAAGTCAAGCGGTTGAGGTCTGACAATGGAGGAGAATACAGAGACAGTAGATTCAGAGATTTCTGCGCAAACAATGGGATCAAGATGGAGACAACAGTTCCCATAACACCGCAGCAGAATGGCGTAGCAGAGCGCATGAACAGAACTCTGAATGAACGTGCCAGAAGCATGAGGATACATGCCGGATTGCCCAAATTTCTATGGGCTGAAGCTATCAACACTGCAGCTTACTTGATCAACCGTGGGCCCTCAGTTCCTTTGGATGGCGGAATACCAGAGGAAGCTTGGAGCAAGAAAGAAATAAACCTTTCATACTTAAGAGTGTTTGGTTGTATTTCTTATGTACACATAAACTCTGCTGAAAGAAGTAAACTTGATGCCAAGTCCAACAAATGCGTCTTTGTTGGTTACGGTGGTGATGAGTTCGTTACCGGTTTTGGGACTACGAAAATCGAAAGATCATCAGAAGCAGAGACGTCATTTTCAATGAAAATGTGATGTACAAAGATAGGTCAACCGCAGAATCAAGTAATACCGAAGCTGAAACAAAGGAATTTGCTGAGTTCGAGGAGATTTCTGGAAATGATGTTCAGATCAATCCTGAAGCAGTTCAAGAAGAACCAGGCACACCAGAACTGAGACGCTCCTCCAGAATTCCTAAACCAACCCAACGGTATTCTCCTTCTTTACACTACTTGTTGCTGACTGACAATGGTGAACCAGAGTGCTATGATGAAGCAATGCAAGTGGAGGATCAGTCAGTGGGAGTTTTCCATGAAAGATGAGATGGACTCGCTTATGTCAAATCAGACATGGGAATTAGCTGAATTACCACCAGGCAAGAAAGCGCTCCACAACAAGTGGATTTACAGGATCAAAGAAGAGCACGATGGGAGCAAACGCTACAAAGCAAGATTGGTTGTCAAAGGCTTTCAGCAAAAAGAAGGTATTGACTACAATGAAATATTCTTTCCAAAAACTGTCTACAATCAGACTGTGTTGAAAATTGTAGCTGCGGAGAATTTACATCTCGAGCAGTTAGATGTAAAGACAGCTTTCCTTCATGGTGATTTGGAGGAAGAGATCTATATGAGGCAGCCAGAAGGCTTCATAGAGACAGACAAGAAAAACCTGGTATGCAGGTTGAAGAAGAGCTTGTATGGTTTAAAACAAGCTCCTAGACAGTGGTACAAGAAGTTCGATAGTTTCATGAGTAGCAGTGGTTTTACCAGATGCCAAGCAGATCATTGTTGCTACATCAAGAGGTTCGACAATAGTTTCATTATTTTATTGTTGTACGTTGATGACATGCTCGTTGCAGGCTCAAACATGCAAGAGATCATAAACTTGAAGCAAAAATTGTCGAAGCAGTTTGCTATGAAGGATCTGGGCGCTGCAAAACAGATTCTTGGGATGAGGATCAAGAGAGACACAAAGTCGGGGACTTTGATGTTATCGCAGGCTGAGTACATCAACAAAGTACTCTCCAGGTTCAACATGCAAGATGCTAAACCAGTAAGTACACCTTTAGGTGTTCATTTCAGACTCTCCAAAGACCAATCACCAAAGACGGAGGAAGAACGTGCACACATGGTGAAGGTGCCGTATGCCTCAGCAATTGGAAGTCTGATGTATGCCATGGTTTGTACCAGACCATATATTGCTCATGCAGTGGGAGCTGTTAGCAGGTACATGAATAATCCGGGCAAGGTACACTGGGAAGCAGTCAAATGGATCCTCAGATATCTTCGGGGTACCACAAACAAAGCACTTTGTTTCAAAGGTGGAGATATGATACTGACAGGCTATGTAGATGCTGACTTAGCCGAAAATGTCGACATCAGAAGGAGCACTACAGGGTATGTCTATACTCTAGGAGGAACTGCAGTGAGTTGGGTTTCTCAACTACAGAAGATAGTTGCTCTCTCCACAACTGAAGCAGAATATGTCGCTGTTACGGAAGCCAGCAAGGAGATGGTTTGGCTCCAAAGTTTCTTGGAAGAGTTAGGCAAGAAACAAGAAAACAATATATTGTATTGCGACAGTCAAAGTGCTATCCATCTAGCAAAGAATCCGTCTTTTCATTCCAGGACAAAGCACATACAATTGAGATATCATTTTATCCGGTCTCTTCTGGAAGATGGGATTTTGAAACTTGAAAAGATTAGTGGAGCTCAAAATCCTGCAGACATGTTGACAAAGACGGTGACTACGGACAAACTGAAGTTGTGTTCAGCTTCAGTTGGCATGCTAGAATAACAAGACCAGAGACATGCTGCTGCATTGATCGAGGTGTGAAGACATATTAAAATCAGTCTTCAAGTGGGAGATTGTTAAAAGTTTCAAAGTTTGGCAACCAACTTTGGAAAATGTTTTTTTCCAAAGTTTGGTAAATGTTTCTTTGAAAAATGTTTTTCAAAGTTTGGTAAAATTTTGGTAGATGTTTGTTGAAAATAGGAATGGGTAAATTCACTTTAGTCATTGCACTTTAGGGTATTTTCAAAGATTAGTCCCTAAGTTTCTACTATAAATACCCTTACCCATTTAGCTTCAAAATCATCCCAAAACATTTCTTTCTTCCTATACTAGAGAGTTTTCTTGTGAGTAGTGAGTGGTTTTGTAAACACCTGTAAATTTTCTCTCTTAGTAAAAGATCTGCAGCAGCCCGGAGACGTAAGCACAATTGGCTGAACTCCGTTATCAATTTTCGGGTATTATTTTTCCGCTTTTATTTCGCATTCTCACTAATCTGGTTATAGGGAAATTACTTGTACTCGGTTTATTTTCCTAACAGGTAGATACGATACCATCTTAACACAAGGCAAAACTGTCTCTTTATTTGGATTTCTCCTTTGTCAATGGCATCACCTATCATTTACATTTCTTTTATTTCTTGTGTCTGTTTTACGATTTATGTATCGAAAGATGTTATCAGAGAGTTCTAAACCCAGGTTAATTTTGAATACATGGACCATGGTCTTCAATCGTGGTTGGTATGATTTTCTTCTTCTTTTTGTCAGCTACCTTGTTGGATCATATATTATTCTAGCTACCTGTCTGCATTGATCAGTGTCAAATGCAGCTAAACATGTCAAACTTTGTGCAGTATTTCGAAGAAAATGGACATCACAGCACCGTCATCGTACAGTCGTCTACTGAGTGTCCGAATCCTCTTGAACATCCTATCACGACAGGTTCGAAGAGGAAACTAAATCTTCCGAGAGATCCAGGCGAGCATGCATATCGTATCTTTATCTTATATTCATATACTTCCAAATTTTAATCCGAGTTAATTTTCTGTCTATGGAAAATTTTCAGACCTGGATGCGAAGGGCGTAGCGCTGTGACAAAACCAGGGTGGCAGTGTGTGCGGCTGATCAGGCGATTTCCGCGGCGGAGGAGGCGGCAAGAGACGTGGCGAACAACATCAAGAATACTAACTATGCTGCGGTTGGTGCTACTTGGTTCTCTGGTGTGCTTGAGAAAACATCCAAGCTAGTCTTAGAGCTTGGCAATAGGAAGGGTCATAGTGCCAACTCTATGGATCATATATGAGTTTCTTTTGTCTCATTTTAAACACTATATCATTGACTTCTGATGGGAGGACGTGATCGTTAAACAATTATGTGATAATATTTGTTAAAAAAAATTAATCATTAGAATTATAATATATTATTTTAATAATATGATTATTCTAATTTAAATTTTTTAAGAAGACTATTTTTTCTCACAATTAAAATAAACTCTTGATATTGTGATGAAATTAGCCTTTTGTACATGGGCAATCGACAGCGGAAGTAGTCCATCTCCTTGGGTCCGGACTATATCAGGAGAAGGCTGATTGTTGACCATGTAAGGCCCGACAAGTGTAACAATGAGGCCGGAATCCTCTCCCTTTCCGTCTTCGATTATCAAAAATCGACTGAAATAGATAAAAATAAACTTTATTTGATTTAGTTAATAAATTTCTTTAAAATTTTGATTCAATTAACAATTAAGAAAATTTTAATTGATTTGATTTTGTCTAATTTGAATTTATACCATTTCAACGTCCTAATATTTGATTTTTAAACATAAATTTTGAATTTTATATTAAATTATATTACACCATATAAGTCGAAGTTAAAAAGTTAAAAAGTAATACAAATATAATAGATATGGATAGATATATTAGTTTTAATTAATTAATTAAAAAACACTTAGTTAATGCATAAAAATAAAATAATCTTTAAAAGATAGGATATTTAAAATCAAATATATCAAAACTCAAAACATCACATCAATTATGGTAAAATAATAAATCAATAAACAGCAAATCAATTGGATTAAATTGAATTGATTGATACCCTGAGAAGAAACGCTGGAAAAGTTTCTCATTGCATGTGGATAAATATAAACAGTTAAGTCTTTTTTTTTCCCTTTTGTCGCGGTGTCCTTTGCTTATCTGGTCACTGCGCTGGACCCTCGCTTTCACCCTCCATTTGCAATTGCATGTAACCTTTTTTACCCTATACCATTCCTCTTCATTCCAACCAAAATCTCCTCCATCTCTTCTCTTTAGGTAAATATTATTTCTTCCCTTTTCCTGTTTTTTTTTTCCAGTCTTGTTCTTCTGTCAATTTTTTTTCTGAAGTTGGAATTTTTTTTATGTTATTTGAGAGATCAAACGTGTAACCCATGTTTCGTTCTTTCCTTTAAGTCATCCCTTTGACTTGCTTCTTTTTTTTTCTTTCAATTTCTTGGTTGGGTGGAGGGTTTCGTATTCAATTTGGGGAAGTATTCGTTAGAATTTAGGGTTTTGGGTAGGATTGAAACTGTTGAAACTCGGTGGATTTGGGATCACTACGGAAAAGGGTTTTTTTATTATTATTAATGCTCCCACCATTAGACACCATTAGAAGTTTGTCTTCAGTTTTTTGTGATTCTTTTGTTTATTTAAGTGTTGTATGTATGTGATCTTGTGTTGAGGTTATTCAAGGTTTGAAATTCTTGGATTTGTTAGGTTTTTCTGATTTTTTTTCCATTGTAGTTTAATAGGGTTTTGGTGTTCGAGCGACAATGCAGAATAAGTCATCAAAGAGCAAATGTACATCTGCCTCTCACCAGTTGATGGTGGACAATGCCAAGAACAGGCTAAATTTTCTCCAAGAACAGTTCACTGGTCTTCAAGCCGCTAGGAAGGAAGGTCGAGCCGGTGATCTTGCGGTGTTAGAGGAGCAAGTTTATCAGAACCTTCGTGAGTGGAAAGCTGAGCTCTGCACACCGTCCCCGGCCTCGTCTTTCTTGGTTTGTTTTTCTTTTTTATCAACACTGACTTAAACTCTTTGCATCAATGTACCCTTAAATAAAATGGGGGTTAATCTCTGGTTTTGTACTCAGTGGATGTATTTTATGTGCCTAAACAAGAAGAGACTTTGGTGAACTTTATGTAGGGTAGTCTTGGATCATTTTCTGATGATATAAACCGATTGTTGCAAATTTACGAAGTGGAAGATGATGCCACTAGTGCATTAAAGGGACCACCGGTGCTGAAGCCTGAGGTTGATGATCAAAGCCTAAATCCGTGTAATTTACCTCTAGTTCCAGAGGTGATAGCTTTTTCCCCAATTCTGATTTCAATATGGAGAAGAATTAATTCTTTTGTTTTACTTTTTTCCCTCCATATTTCTTCCCAAAGCACCATTACACTGAAAAGAAAGGAAATTATATATAAAATATAATTTATGGCAAGTTTTTATGTTTAGGTTTACTCTATAATATATTTTTCTTATTGTTTGCTATATATAAATACTATATATTGATATAGTTCTTTATAAAGAAAAGGTGGATGGAGCAATCATACATTGGTGAAACACTAGAAAGTCTAGGTGCCACTAGTGTAATTTCATTTGATAAATTCACTATTGTTGAAATATGAACTTGGTTGGTATGATTGTTTCTTAATTATGTTTCTGAGACCATTTTTACTTTTGTATGTGCAAAGTGCACCATATATAAGGAACAGTTATATATTGTTTTTTGGTATTAAGGTGTTAGCTCTTGCATGTTGATTTATTTCTCCTAATGCTAACCATTTTATATGAAAAGTAAATAGGGTGATGGTTGCTTTGGTTTTTGGTATTTAGAAGAACATAAGTAAAATTCTCAGTGTTCTTAATTGTTTGAAGCGAAAGTATGCAATATTGATTTGTTTGACGGACTCATTGTTTTAGCACTCCAAGCATGAAACATGAAATGACTTGCATGGTGTTTTCTTGATTTGAACTCTGCATCACTTTCTCCCCCCCCCCCCTTTTCAGTCCCATTTTGTTCTGGCCATATTTGGTTTGTTTTGTGAGTTTCCAGTAGTTTATTGCTCATCCTCTGCGCGTAATTTGACTGGAATTGACACACATTTTCTTTCTCAGGACTATTTTGTGAATCATGAGCCACAAGAACAATCAATTCAAGGATTTGATTTATGTAAAGTTTCTACCTCAGCTAATGCTGACATGAATTATCAATTGGATTATCATACATTTGATTTACAACAAGAATTTGACCATGGGCTTCCCATTGGTGCCAATGCAACTGAAGATTATGTGAAGGATGCTAGCCCTAACATACCATCGAATATTGCTTGTCCGCCATCTGCTTTCATGGGGCCGAAGTGTGCTCTCTGGGATTGTACAAGGCCTGCCCAAGGATCTGACTGGTATCATGACTATTGTAGCAGTTTCCATGCTACTCTAGCTGTGAATGAAGACCCCCCTGGCACAACTCCAATTCTACGTCCTGGTGGAATTAGCTTAAAGGATAATTTACTACTTGATGCAGTTCGAGCAAAGGCACAGGGTAAGAATGTTGGCATCCCTCAATGTGAAGGTGCTGCTACCATGAAATCACCTTGGAATGCTACAGGTAAAATAACATGTCTTTCTCTCTCTCAGTAAAAGATAAATTAAAATGATAATAAGAACATTCTTGTTTGACTTGGAAGTATGCTAGATAATGCGGTATGATGTGGTTTGTGGCTACTTATTTGAAATAGTGTGTGTGGTTTCTCTCTATTTGACTTTGACAATAAAAAAATATGCCCTCTCTTGTCCCTTTTCTTGCTATCCATGCCTTATAACAAAGGCCATCTCTTGTATTGCAGAGCTTTTTGATCTTTCTTTACTTGAGGGTGAAATAATCAGGGAGTGGCTCTTCTTTGATAAGCCTAGGAGGGCATTTGAGAGTGGAAACAGAAAGCAGAGGTCGTTACCAGATTACTCTGGGCGTGGTTGGCATGAATCAAGGAAGCAGGTGATGAAGGAATTTGAGGGCCAGAAGAGGTCATACTACATGGACCCTCAACCTGTTGGGAAATATGAATGGCACTTGTTTGAATATGAGATCTATGGCTGTGATGCTTTTGCTTTATATAGACTGGAGCTCAAGCTTTTCAATCAAAAGAAAAGTCCGAAAGTGAAAGTTCCTAAGGATTCGCTTGCCGATCTGCAGAAGAAAATGGGAAGGCTTACTGCTGAAGTTCCTGGAGATGGCAAATCTGCTGGTAAGGGCAAGACGAAGGTCAACAATAAAGCTGCCGAAGAAAATGCTGATTCTGCTCAAGACGGGCAAGCTTGACTGACTTATGGTTCTAATGTTCGGAACTGAAGAAAATTGACTAGTTTGTTGTGCATTTGGAACCTATTGTCAAGCGTGCTGTAGTTGGTCTATAGATAGAGATCAAATATTGCGAAGCCATTTTCTGAAAATACTTTTCCTTTAAATCCTTCTTCGGTTGCTGCTCGGTGGCTTCTATTCTACAATGGGGCATCACTCCATAAACTAGAATATGGAATATACTGTTTAACTGCTTATAGATGGTGTTTCGTGTACAGGGTAAGTTAAAAACTTTCGTCATATTGAACTCGGGAGGTAAACGGTAATTGTAGATGAAAGAAGTTCTATAGGGAAACATATTGAATTCTCCCTATTGGTACTGCATTGTTTTATCTTCCTAATGCTATCTGGTTTTTCAAGTTAGTCTTATCTGGTGCTTGTTTGGACTTCCAAGTTTCTTCCTTCAAAGTTGTATGCTTGCTGGTAATTAGCATAAGACAATATAATTGCCATATCTGAATGGTGGTGCATTTGCATGAAAGTGGTAAGCCAACTGTAAGATAATGTTAAAAGGTTGAAGATTTAGGGTTTATCTGAAAGTCCACCCTTCACCATTGTTGAATTTTCAAGACTAGCTTCTCTTAAGGGTCAAAACCATGTGAACATTCGATGTTCAGAACAAAAGCGGACTCATTGCAAAGAAGCATTGAAAATCTTATGAAATTGAAAGGATCTTTCAAAGTACATCCAAGACAACAAGGAAAGATGCATCATTTAAGCCCCTCCATAACAACAGATAAAGTGGTTGAACATAAAAAACAACATAACTGAATCCTACACTCCATATGAACTACTCAGCTATATTTCTGAGCTCTCAAGGGAGTTTTGGTCCAAAAAGCCTTTTTCATTATTTTAGAGAACTCATGATGGTCCTGTCATTTGAGATCTAAAATAACTCAAAACATGCACGGATGGCAGCCATTCACAATAAAGCATCCATCTAAGCCTTCAAGGAAGTTACAAGTTCTTCACAGCAATTCTGCAAAACAGTTTTCATTTAGTTGGCAATTTGAAGATATAAACGAAGTTAAATGTCAGAAGCCACATGTACCAACAGACGTAATAACTCGATTCGAAGGCTAAATGTAGGAGAAATCGGAAAACAAAAAGAACAATGTATTGAAAGAAAGAGGAAATTAGAAACCTGAACAAGTTCAACACATTTTCAATTGCACAGAATGGGAAGGATGCCAAATCCAGAAATTAGTTAAAAGGAAGTGGGTGAACATGAAATAAAAATCCGTTCCAGTTCCAAGCACCATTAATGAACTCATTTGGCAGCATAAAACGTCATTAAGCAATATCCATACAAACAGTACGTATAAAAATACAATGTACTCACGATTATACTCATGTTTAAATGATAAAAATATAGACCAACAGAATCTACTATCTTCCCACTTTTCTTGGTAAGAAAAAGTCAACTAACCTTTCAGCAACTCCATCAAACACTTAAGCATTCTACCGCTCATATATTTCAAAAACATCTAGACCAAAAGGCTTTATAGCATGTTCAGCAAATTCGTTTTAAAGCGGAGTGAAATTTGTAGATCCTTAGATGTACACTCTGTTCAATTCTGACCAATGATTAAGGAAAAAGAGACGGCAAACTTTTCCTTTAGAAAAACTCCAATAATTTCTTGTTTGTTTCAGCGAGCAAGTCAAAGATAAGCTATAAAACTTTATACACGAGAATTTGCACTCTCGCAATAAAATAGTCAGGCTCGTAAGGAAAAACATCAAATGTGAAATTCAAATACCCAAAAGCTTTATTATTATTTTTCTCTTATAATTCATGTTCGTTTTATGACCCATGTTTGTATTTTATGACTTGAAAATGCTCCAATTAGCCCCTAGAATGCAATCCCAAGGAATCAATTTTGACAAACAACTTGAAAATGTTCCAATTAGCCCCTAGAATGCAATCCCAAGGAATCAATTTTGACAAACAACAATATCCCAATCCGTTTCAGTCATAACTAAAGGTATACACAGCCCTGGTTGCTTATTTCATTGTTGATTTAAACTAGAGATGAATCCAGAGATAAGTCGATGTTCACAAGTACAAAATTAAATCAGAAGCAATAATGAAATCAGAAAGAGAAATGAAAAATACCATCCACTAGAACTAGGGCCGTTTCCGCTGGATCTGGGACGAGGAATCAATCCCAAATCTGAATCACCGCCTCTTTTGATATTCTCGTAGCCGCTTGATTTGGGTCGCCTATCTTTACCATAGTGAGCCGACGAGCCAAAATGCTTCACCCCCTGTTCTCTCCCCCGAAAGACTTTGGGTTCGGGTTTCTCCTCTTTCCCCGCAAAACCCGGCCTAAGATGAGGCGGGACGAATCGACCTGATTTAACAGATCCAGAAACGGTCACACCATCCTTCTCCTTCTTCTCCGGACCGGAAATCGAAATCCCAGAACCGGGTCGCAAAGAAATCTGATCAGAAGACGGCGGGTGATCCGGGACTGAAGCAGAACGAGGTTGTGGCTGCTTGGGAAGCGTCGGAGAAACGACGGGAGGAGTCGAAAGAGGCTTCGGGGAAGGACGGGTCAGGACGAGCATGCGGCCATGGGTGGCTGATGAATAAGAAGTAAAAGAGGAGTGGCTTTGGTGATTAGTATGGGGATTCTTGTGGGAACCAGAAGAAGAAGCAGTCAGATTCTTCTCGATGACATGATTGAAATTAATAGAGGTATATTTGTTGGTTCTTGCCATCCACCACTATCTCCGCCAACTTCTTCACCTCTTTCGTTTCGTTTATAATTTTGATACAACCTAAATCTCATAAGGAAATTCTCCTTTTTGCTTTGGATAAAATGAAGGCGGTGTTTATAATATATATTCTTTTTGAAAGCATGTATTTTTGTCTGTGGGCTGTCGTTCTGCTGATCTGATTGCATTAGTGACGCCGATGAAGTTCGGACCTGTGGTAACCGGTTTTCGTCCGGGCATGAAATATTTATTTGGCGGTAAAATTGATGTGAATAAATATTTTTGAAAATAATTTGGGAGTCGCCATCGACCTTTTGGATCAGGTAGGTCGAATACCTAAAAATTATTTTCTTTAAAAGAGTTTTAAGAAAACATTAATAAAAAAATGAACTGATCTGCGTTTTATAACCAAAAATTCGTTCTTTTTAATAATAAAAAGGTTTCGTGGTCGGTTACGTTTAGAGAAGGATTAGCACCCCTACAACGCCCAAAATTGGTACTTTTTAATTATAAATTGTCTATATTATTAAAATTTAAAAATTTAAAAATATATTTAATTTATAATCCTATTATTTTAAAATTATAAAAAATATTTAAAAATATCAGAAAAGAACTTCTAGGTGCCTTAAGACAGCTTTTTTCTTTGATATTGATAAATAGTAATTTAAATTAAATAATATTTTTTATAATTTTTTTTATTTTAAAATACCAGAATAGGACATCCAGTTGTATTAAGACTGTCCTTTTCTTTGATATTGAAAAATAAATATTAAAATAATTTATTTAAAATAAATATTTATTTATTATATATTTATAACAACATTTAAATATATAAACAAAATACAATTCTAACTATATATTTAAAAGCAATAATAAAAAAATACTTAAAATAAATGACTAAAATATAGTGAAATTAAAATTGAAAAACCTAATTCATAATTAATCAGAATTACAGGGATTAAACATACTATTTTCTTATTTAATAATTTAGTGACTAAAATAAAATTATCTAAAATTCGGATATTATAATAAAATAAATTAAAAATATAAACTAGGGATTAAATATTATTTATTAAATTAAGGGATTAAATCTGTTATTTATCCTAAATATATTATTTTAATATAAAGGACTAAAATAAAAGAAATTAAAATTTCGAGATCAAATTAAAAGTATTATGAATTCGATTTAGTGACTAAAATGTAAAGTTTACAAGTTAGAAGGACTGCGGACGGGGTTTAACTATTATCTAATTACGCGCATAGTCCTTCCCGAAACGACGTCGTTCGGGAAGGCCTATATAAGGTCAAAACCGGCTGGCCCGAAGGGCCAGCTTCATTTCATTTTTTTTTCTTTCTCTCTCAAGCAGAGAGAGCTCTGGCCTCTCTCTAGCTTCCCTCATCGGAGGGAAGCCGGTCACCGGACGGCAACCGTCTGCCGTCGTGACCGTCACCGCCGGCCACCGCATCCGGTGGCCGGAAAATTTTATTTTTACACCATTAAATAGATCGGGACGTCCTAAGGACGTTTCCAGTGTTCTTTTTCCTTAAAAAGCTCCTAATCGGAGCGAATCTACAAAAGTACCTTCGGTGTTTCGAAAGTTCCGGTGAGATCCGGTGGTCGGGGCTTCCTCGGTAAGTTTCTTTTCTTCCTTTTTCTTTCTTTTCTGTTTCTTTGTTGCTGAGATCGTTGGTAGTATTTTGTATATATTTTTTCCTCGGTTTTGTTTCTCTGGGATCTGTTCTCTGTCTTTTTTTTTTTTTTTTTTTTCAGGTTCGGGTGGTGGCTTTTATAGCCACCACCGGTGTGGCCATCGGACCGGTCCAAAGAGGGGATTTCGGTGAGTCACCGGACTACCAGTGGTGACTCACCCCGTAGCCATGGCGTGGAGGGCAGCTGGGTCTTCTGGGTTCTTCGTCTTGGGACGTGGCAGCGGCGGAGGCGGCGAGAGCAGCAGCGGCGGCCGCGTGGCCCTAGGGTATCATACCCTAGGGTTTCCATCTGGAGCCATCTGGACCGTTGGATCTTGCCATATCCAACGGTCAGTCTGAGGCGGCTGGCTAGAGGCGGCTGATATGGGATTAGGGTTAGGAAACCCTAACTGAAACCCTAAATGTTTTGGGTTTCAGTTTGGTTTGGGTTTTGGGCCGATTGATTGGGCTTTGTAATTTAATATTATTTATTTAATATATATTTAATAATAATAATAATAATGATAATAATAATAATAATAATAATGATGATAATAATAATAATA